TAAGCTTCGGCGCGCCTCCCACAAGTGTAGGAGGTGATTGTCAACTGCGGGGATTTCTTCGTTGGTTTGGAGGGTAGTAGTAAATCTTTTCTGAATGTTGTTTACGTGTTGAGCCCATTCTGCATAGCCTCCAGAAAATAGTATGGGAGGGATAGTCTGATTGCGAAATTGGGTCCAATCGGTCAACTTGCCTTGACCGCATTTTTTATGAGCTGACTTTTCCAGGAGTGTGACCCGGAGAAGGCAGTGATCACTGCCTAGAGAATCGCCCAAGTTCTCCCAGGTAGCATCCTTAGCGTTTTTTACGAGAGAGAGGTCCGGACACGTGTCACGGGTTACCGAGTTCCCCACTCGAGTGGGGTACGCCGGATCCGTGAACAGCGTGAGGCGAAGGGTGGAGATAAGCTCCGCCAGCTTACGTCCTCTGGCCTTCTCGTAGTGATAGCCCCAGTGAAGGCTGGGAGCATTGAAGTCTCCCACGATCGCTAAGGGGTCCTTGTCTGCCAACTTGATCGCCCGGAGGAAGATTTCGCTAAAAGTTACGCGGGGCTTATGCGGGGGGCTGTATATATTTAGGATGTGTATTGACTGGTCGCGACGTCTGAGAGGCAGTACTCTGAACATTGTGTATTCTTGTTCAGTACTTAAATTTAAATCGACCTGAATCGCGGTATATGCCTTGTTCACCTGGATGCATGACGAGGGCCCCCCTGGAAAGTGCTATAGCCAGAGAATTTAACGTTCAAACCGGGCTCCTGCAAAGCAAGCAAGGCGGGCATGTTTCCGAGGGACTGCAAGTAGAGCTGGAGGTGCGACCGTTTTTTCCAGGCTCTAAAACCCCTGCAGTTCCATTGTATAATCTCACATTTTTGTAGATATTTAGCTTGTTTATTAGATCGGCTAGTCATCCTTTAGTATTTATTTACGGTGCAGAGGACCGGTCCGGACCTGGAGCCGGCCCCGAAAAGCCTTCTTCTGCTGCCTGACGGGAGGCCGGCTTGCGCTTAACCTGCGGGGAGTCGCTCTGAGTGGTGTTTTTAATTTGGGCGATAACCCAGGGCTGCATGGCTTTAAGGACTGAGTTAGAGACCTGCGCCACAATTTCGGGAAGTGCTTGCGTTAAGGCTGCCGTGAACATGTCCTGAAAGGACTCGCGGACTGCCGACATGATTTGAGTGGGGAGGGCTGCCACGCTCGCCTCTAATTGCTCGGTTTTATGCTCTAGGGACTCGATGCGACCGATGGATCTGGTAATGGAAGCTGGTCCAACTACCGTGTCCGCGTCCTGCCGCGAGACGCTAGTGAGGCGGGATGTGACGGAAGAGCCGTCATCCCCGTCCTCTGCCTCGGCTTCCTGCACTGGCTCGGATGACCCAACCTGCTTCGCTTCTAATTCCTGAATTTTGCACGCAAGAGTTTGGTTCTGGCGCCTGAGCTCCCCTATCTGCTGCTGTTGGGCGGTTTCGGTAGGGGAGGGAGAAGAGGAAGGTCCGGAGACTGCCCCACCCCAACAGCTCACCTGTGCTTGGACGGGTGTCAAGGGTGGAAAGTCCTTGACCAAGGCAGGAGGCTCCGACGGGGTCCCAGGCTTTACATTGGTGGAGTGCCCGGTGTTGGTCTTCTTGAGTTTTGGCTTATTCGACTTGGCGGCTGGTGCTTTCTTGGGGCCAGTCTTGGGAGTCGGAGCCTGTTTGTTCGCCCCGTTCCCCCCCGTTGTCCTCGGCTTGGATCCGTGTGGGGATCCCGACTTGACCGGCTGCCGGAACCGTCCAGCACAACCGGGAGCTCCAGTCTTGTGGCCACCGCCGCAGAGGAGGCAGCTCGGAATGCACTGGTGTTCCGTAGGGCCGTCAGGAGTAGCAGCAGGCACCTGAACGCCGCAGCTTGTGCAGCGGCCGGGCTGCGGGCGCGGGCAAGTATCTGCTCGATGGCCCACTGTGCCACAAAGTGGGCATGCAGGCACTGTCTTCTTATACAAGCAAACAGAGAGCCGCTCGCAGTTGTATAACACCGTCCGTGGCACCTTGGTCCCCGCGAAGGTGATCACCGCAACCGGGGTGTCCCCAAGCTTGCGCACAGACACTATATTTGGCTCAGCACTGAGCTTGCTTTTCACAGTTTCGGACGTTTCGTCTTGAGAGACATGCACGATGCCCCGACAGAACTCACCGGAGAGTTTGGGATGTCCCCGGAATGTTAGCTGGCGGCCCCCGACTGGCAGCTTAATGTCCCGGAGGAGTCTCTCGGCGGCGTCCACTGATTTGAGCGTGCACACAAGTACATTTTGATCCCAGAGGGGCCACACCGCAAGTCCCACACTTGCGTCGGCTCCGAGGATGCTGCGGACTGCAGCGCCGGCTTGTCCAGGACCAAACGTGGCCTTGAGGTCGAGCGTCTCACGCGGTTTCAGCACCACTATGATGTCGTCTTCTTCGATGCGCGGCGTGTTCTTCGGCCGCCACTGGAGTTGCTTGGCGCGCTGCGAGGCGACACTCGGCGCGTTCTTGCCCTGTGCTTGCTGAGGGCGAGACGCTGCTTGTTGTTTGGCTGCAGGAGCCCTGGCGTCTCTCGACGCCACTGCTGTGTTCTTCCTTCCGCGCCAGACGCGGACCATATCCTTGAGGTACTCTTCCTCGGTTGGTAGAGGTGTCTCGGTTTGAGCGGTATCCATCTGTATTATCTGTAGGGACTCCGAATCGTAGCCGGTGACTTGATTTGGAGACGCCATTACCGGGGAAACCCCGGGCAGGGCCAGCGCGGCCCTTACTGCGGTTAGGCTTAACTCCGCGGTGGTTTGGCGAAAGCTTCAAGTGACCAAAAAAGGGTCAGAAGACGGCCCACCTTGACAAGATGTGATGTCTTCGGTTGCGGCTGACGTTCTTGGAGACGGTGGTAGAAGGCTTGCAGGAGAACGACTTGATGTGACGCAAATAATTGCGATATTTCACAGAGCCGACGTGGTATGCGACCGCTCCCGTCGATCGACGCCAGCGCCCCCCTGTTTGCGTAGCGTCCTCCCGGCAGCATCATAGACTTCGAGTCGAGTGATGAAGAAGAGGTTGTGGCGGTGCTGATGTGCTCAGCCAACGTGTCAGCGCTGGCAGCACGAAAACGTTCAAAGCAAGCAAGGCGGTGGTGGGTGAGACCGTCCCTTCGCTCGCGAGAAGTCGCTGGCCACACTGGGCGTCTGCTTCTCGACGTGCGCTCGCACGACGAGGAGTATTTCCGGGAGTAAGTTTATGGTTGTTTTACGTGCTTATAAGGTAGTGCGTAACATGTTATCTCATTCTTCTTTGGTGGTTAGCTTCATGCGGATGCCGCCACGAACGTTCGATACTTTGCTCGAACTGCTGCGCCCCGCAATATCCAAGCAGGGCACAAACCACCGGCCTACAATTTCGGCGCACGACTGCCTGGCCATGACCATTAGGTAAGAGCGTGTGGTTTGAAGATTAATATGCTGTGGCTTGTGGCTGCGCTTCGCTTGTAAGGAAGTTTCGCTTGGGCGGATAGAACGAATTGCATTTATGACGTATGCGGGCTCGATGGTGCAGTCGTTACTGCGGTCGGCAGTTTAGGCGTAAATGACGGGTTTGATTACGGCCGCATCGATCGCCTTTAGGTGGAGGCGAAATGCACTTAAGTTGGCGCGTTTGTTGCGCACGTACGTTAAGAATCTCAGGTGGTGAATATTTCAAAACCATCTGTTGTGGCTTATTGCGTAATCAGTACGTGGTTTCCGCTTGTAAAATCACACAAAATGGGATTCTGCGCTACACAATGACATTACATTGTGGACGTGTCAGTTCCCGTTTTCTGTTATCCTGATGCACAGGTACTATATAGAGCGCAATTATGATGTTATAAAATAAGTAAAACACAATCCTAAGCTTTGCGAGTACAATTATGCACAAATCGTTAGGACAAATTGATGTGCTCTTCAAGGAACTCAAAGAGTATTCATGCCAAAAATATTTTTCAGCATCGAGGAGGGAGGAGGTTCAACCAACCACCCTTTATGTATCTGCATGCACGACGGTGTGTGTTTGCACAAGTACACATGCAAAATTTCTCACAAACATGAGCAGCGTTCAACCCCTGCACCTTGCTACAATTTTACGTATGTTCTGTTAAATTGACAGTGACCCAATACACTGTGGACAGTAGCGCAGTGGCAAAACGTATTGTGGACGGTAGCACATTCTGTGAAAGCAATTTAAACAATAGACTTGAGTGATGTACGTTTTGCGAAATAGGTTCTCATTGAATTTACAGCTTTTCAGAAATCCATGCTAAGCAAATTGCTACAAGTACGTTTAGGTTGCCCTTCTTCAACCTGAGTGATATGAGCACGTACGCTCTTCCATGAAAAGGTTGATGCATGCTTATGATTCGCCAAAATGTGCAGGCACAGAAATATTCACTGCATATACGACAGCTTGCGGAGTGCACAAGCAGTGCGACTGTTCGCGACCGTTCGCGACCAGTCGCAAATGGTCGCGCGACCGCTCCTAGTCGCCGGGTGTGCACCAGCCCTAATTAGGTTTAATTGTACAGCGCAATCGTTCTTTCAAAAGTGTACAATGGTTTTGTCCAAATGCGAGCAGTTGCTGACCTTGGCTGTCATGGAACTTGACATATCGAAATTTCTAAAGTTAGTCAGTAAATATGCATTCTATCAGAAGCTGTGATGATGCCGTAGAAAATAGACAGCATAGGTAGCGCTCATTAATACATAAAAATGAGGAACACTTTGGCAATGTAGCGTCATGACTACGACACTGAAATGCAACTATGCGTGAGATATTCAAGCTCAGCATGCTCCTTTTACAGTGTTTGTCTTCCATCATGGCTGTGCTGACAGAAATTTCACATGGCACTTATGCGTTTTAGGTATGCCAAGGAAGTGCGAGATAAATTGGCGCACTACTTCGTCACAGACGGTCAGGTGCCTTGGCAGGACAAAGTGGTGAACAGCACTTGAGGCGTACAAGGTGAAGGTGGGTTGTAAATGCATTTTATTGCTTACAGAACTTATGTACATAGCATCTTCTTAAGCTAAACAAACAAGAGAAAAATCACCCGTGACACAACAGATACATTACAGGGAAAACTGTCATGTCCAAATATAACCATGAAAACACAAAAATAAATAATTCATGTTAAAATATTTGAGTTATTGCACGGTTATCACTACAATTATCACAGAAATAAGTTGCCCTAAAGGGGGTCATGACACCCAATTTTCAACCATAATGTGTGTTGTATGAGCTGATTCTTGTATGTTCACATACAAGCTGGCAAAATTCGAGCGATTTGGTCAAGCTGCCAATTTTTAATCGCATATTTTTATAAACGAGCTAGTCGCCTGAGAGTTGGGCAATACTGACGCACTCACTATCCCTGACATCACGAACCGCTTGCTCGACAAGCTGCTGCACAGTGTGCATTCTGGCAGACGGTCGTGTTCCGTCATCAACTGCGCTTGCATTCAAATTTTTTCGCATTGTTGAACTCTCCACTAAAGCTAAATGACTTCCAGGGGTCGAAACATGGCTACTGTGTCAGCAATGTAGCGCTGGTACTTGCAGCAAATAATTTCGGATGTCAAAATGGGTCCTGTGAATGTGCAATGCGTATACCATTTGCCATTGCTCCTTCGGCTTGTGACGTCTCGCATGCCATGACAAAATGGCGGTCACTTGTGGTAGGTTTAGTTTTAAGAGTCGAGCACTTCTACGGCATATTTTTGATTAAAATGAACTCTTAAGGCCCCTTTTCACACGTGTACTAGCACATTTTACTCTGTAGTTTTGTTTTTTGCTGACAACCGTCAATTGTTGAGTGACCAGTCATGACCCCTTTAAGTTGAGACTAGAAAAGTGAACACAAGATAAAAAAAAAGATGGGTGTCATTGACATTATTTACACACTTCAATTTGCTTCACTGCTCTGATGCAATTTTGCCTCTGCTTCATACAGCATAAGTTCTACTGCATGCATTACATCTTGTGCAATGTGCACTGGTAGCTCTCTGAGGCGTGCATCGGTACGTAGAGCGAAGAAACCAATGTTATCTTTTTTGATGACCCCCTTGTTCGCTCTGATGTGTTCAAGGTGCTCCATGCACGCTTGCGCCACAGCTTCATGGCTTGTGCCCTCTCCTGCATTGCTGCAAAGCAAGTGTGATCTGCGATTCATGCATATGAATGCTTTAAGGTTGCATTGTTACTTCATGAAGCACCATTTAGCAAAAAAAAAAAAAAACTGTGTGAGAACGACAAGGTAGAAACAGAAGAAACAAGACAGAGCACTGACTTTCAACTGATGTTTGTGCTTTTCGGCACTAAGAAAGAAAAAAATATAGAGGAACTGAAGCAAATTAAATAGCACACTTAGAAGATAAATGTGTCAATAGGGCGTCTACCTCTCTGTGAGAAATAAATGGGCTTTTGATCTTTCAAATGGACACTCGTGTTTTGGGACAGGGTGCTGATGTTCTGATATTAACGCCTAAATATTACGGTAGTTACATGGGTTCTGTCTGCCTTAGTATAAAGGTGCCCACAATAAAAACATCAGTTTAAAGTAAGTGCTCTATCCTGTTTCTTCTGTTTCTACCTTGTCGTTCTCACACTCTTTTTTGTTACTATGTCTGTGTACCAACTTGACCGAGCGTTAACCTTATAAAGTTTTGTATTTTGTAGCATGCGCAGGATTGTTAGAAAAAAAATCTGCAAGTTTATCCTCTAAGAGTTAGCGGTATATCTCACCTAGCGCCCTCGCAGGTCCGTTGTCGTCTTGACGAGCGGGACCTGCAGTGAATTATACATATTGCTTAAATGTACAGAAAGAGATCCTTTTCGAAAAGTTGTGATTGTGATCTCTTGCCAGGAGTACCTAAAATAATTTTTTCGTTTACACACCGTTTTGATGGTGGCTGCTCTCTTGAGGTGGTTGCTGAAGCATCACTGCAGAAGGAGGCAGTATTATTATACAACTTATGAAGTGTTACAATTGCATGCAGCAGAATCTGGTGTGAAAACATTAGGCACATTCTCCAAATGTGCTAGAACATGAAGAAGGTTACAAAACATGTTTTTAAGATTTAATAGATTGGCTATCTATGCATGCCCTTCATTTGTCATTACTTAGGTGGATTCATAAAGGTTTTACTCATTGCTGCAGGTGTCGACACCAGTCTCCTCAGCCGTATCAGGGATACGTTCCGGTTCCGCTGCATGGCTTGGCCGAGTTGGTGATCTGCAGTGATGAAAACTTCTCTCTATGTATTTGATGATGCCACTAGTACATGAACAGTTTTAGGCATTCTTCGGGAGTTAAAATGCCATTATGATTTCACTCAACACGAGGTTTATTTTACACTTGCGTTACCTCTTGATTGAGCACTGCTGTATGGAAGGTGTGCATACAGAAGTTTAATGTGCCTATTATGTTAATAAAATGCTATGTAGGCTGTGCATCTAAATCAGAACAAGAGATATTGTCACGGAGATGAAGTAAAGGTAGAGGAAGAACTCAAGCAGCTGATAAGCACGCGAGGGTGTTAATCAGCCATTGTGAATCTTGCCTGTGGGTTTTCCCCTGTAAACGCATTTTGTACAAAAGTCCCTAACCCCGTAAAAATATCTCACTTGCTATGTGAATGAAATTTATACAGTCAATCCTAAATGGCTGTGCAAACGATGTGTCTGATGAAACTGTGCCTGCTGTCATTATGTTTCTTGAACACATGCTGCATACGACTTTTACAGCATCATTTTACTGCTAGGAATGAGTGAATGCTTCACATTATTCAGCTCACTTGTATTGCAATCAGCGCTGGGCACTTGTTCATAACGAATTGACATGAATGTGTTGCCAGTGTATGCAGATAATGCATTAGTTTGCTTAATTGCGGCCTGTCGCTGATGAATACTTTGCTTTTTCAGAAATATTTGACGTTGTACAATAACCAAATTCACACAGAAACAATGCCTGTGCCCTCATGTATTCCTGTGTGCTTTTGTTCAGTGTTGAGTGCTGAATGTATTAAAAAAAATGCAGTGGTTTGGGCAAGCTAACGACCTGAACACCGTCTTTCAAGCGCGCTTGTATTTTTCATAATTTTGCAAAGTACAATCACCTAGTAATAAAAAATAATGTTTCTAGGTTCAAGTCCATGTGTGTACAGCTTCGCATGCACATGGTACCGAAAATTTTTGTGCATGCTCACCTCTCGTTAGCCTCTTCTGCTGTGATGTGGCTGCTGCAAGAGAACATGCAATATGTGATTCTGTCAGTGCTATTGTTTGCATCTTTAGAGCATTTTCACGGTTTTGCTACAATATAAGTACTTATGCTGCATTCTTGTAATGAATATGTGCAATGCTTGTCTATGAACAGCCTCATGACACATGCAATAAGCAATCTCTTTAGATTTTTAGATTTTGTATTAAGCCTTCCTTCTTTTGGTAAATGAGAGCCGAGAATGACACAGAAAGTACACTCAATTCTCTCATTCTTACTGTTCTGTCTTCAATATTCTGTTTTGTGAAGCTGTCCATGTGTTACTTGTACAGTATGCTATATTTTTTGCGTTGTGCTGCTGCATTGTGCTATGCTAACCAAAACATTTCATTTTCTGTTCAATGGAGGGTAAGCATTATTCATTACCTTTGGTCAATGGCACTCATGTTGCACAGTACCCTGAAAGAATGATGCACAGAGTTATTCTTCGTAGCTGTAGCCACAATTACTCGACATCAAAACAGCCCATTGCCACCATGTTCATGATCACATGCATGCCCACTGTGAATTACCTCTTGGGACTTCTATGTTTATGTGCAGTGTACTTATGTGTATTGATATGTGTGTAATTATGTGTATGTATAACAGTAATGTGAATTAAATCAACTTTTTTTTTTGTTTAGTACTCAATAGTCAACTAATATTGAACTTAAGCCACAGGCTCAGATTCTCCTTCCATTAATTCAAACATGGCCTCAAAATGGGGCCATTTTATTGTTGGAATGTCGGCTGCCCCGGCTCCACTTCTTTGTCTTTCACGTATGTCTTGTTGTTTGCTTTTGAAGATATCACGCAGGTTCCTAAATCGTTTCTCAACAAGGACACCTGAAAACAAAACCCTTGCTGTAAGAATGTATTGTGCATACTGTATTGCTGATAAACTTTCTACTTTATTTCAGCACAATTGTGAGCGGTCTTTATTTTCTTTGCCCAGATCATTTCGGCTGCAGCACCCTAGAAATCTGAATATTGGGCATCAAAATGAATCACATGCCATCTAAACTTAAGTATTGGTAGGGGCTTAAACATTGCAAAATCTCTGCCCATGATTGAGGGAACCTGCAGCCGAGGGTTCCAGAAATGCCGCCCACCTAGTGTTTTCGACCGTCCACCTACAAGTGCACGACATCACAGCTGACGCAATGATTAGTTGCGCAAAGAGTTATGTACACTGGTTCTTGAAGGTAGGCATGTCTGTCAAGCTATTGTAACAAAGAGGCTGTTTATACTGTTGGCAATTGAAGTTCACTTGCAGAAAGACTACTTCATGAACCAGCACATGATGTCTTTATCACCTTCAGAGTGAAACTTTCTAAGCATTACTGCATTGTGCAAAACTCCACAGGTGAGTATATACCACTGGTATCGGACAAGCGAAACTGTCGTGTACAGCGGGAGCGATTGTTGTCAAACAAAAGCAAACATGTTAAATAACTTGAAAAGAAGGATGAAACTAACTAGAGCAAGATGACAATTTTTAAGAGAAAGAAATGCAACAAACATAGTATATGACTCAAAGTGTAACATAGAGAGAGCGAGAGGAAGGAAAATATAAGAAAATAAAGGGACCAAAACATGAAAACATACCAACACATAGAAGCAGATATGAAAAATTGACTTTAAAATATAGGAACAAAGAAAACAAACAAAAACGAGGCACAGTTGGAAGCGGAGAGATATAACCTCTGGGAATAAAGGAATAATCGAAATATAAAGGCACCAATAGACAAAAACACAGGAGAGGAAAGCAACAGTTGTGAAGAAATGAGGATTAGATATGGGCCACATTAGAGAGAAATAAATTCCCCCATCTGTGCTTTCCTTCAGTGTTCGCCCAGCCACTAGAACACTACCATATCTTTTTTTTTTTTTTTACGATTGCATGTCATTTGGCATCAACAGCATGTCTGACTCCCAAATCCGGACATTTGAGAGTGCTGCTAAACATGTTTTGTATGTCTTAATTACACGCTCCTCTATGGAGTGCACAACATGCGCTCAAAGCAGAAGCTACTTTGCATTCTTTTTTAAAACAGCACAACTGCAATGCATAGGCATAATTAAAGCGTAACACCCCCCCCCCCCCTCCCTCACCGCGCACTAGATATTATGCATTGCAAATGCCGCACGTTCACAAAAGCACAAATTCCCTTGGCCAGACGATGACGTACAAACACAGCAAGGAGCATGCGCTAGGTGAGTTGGCAACTGCGAGTAGTATTTCGAACGTCTGAGCTTTATTATCAGCTATACAATGTTCTGTCATGTCGATTTCGATGTTAAACTCGGAAAGTCGCGAGAACAAACGTGCACACAACTGCGCTCGCATACATCACAGTCAATACATCTCATGCAAACTAAAACCTTGCAGTACAAATACCAATATTTTCATTGTTCATTCATTGGCAACGCCAGCCATGCAGTACACACCTGTTCTTGCTTATATAGCTACTCAAACAAAAAATCTCGGTACTTACTCGACATGCCGAACATGCTTCCGATCTCTGCCCAAGCCCGGTCCTTCTTTGTCCGATCTTTAAAAGAAGGGTGCCGCTTGTCATACAGATATGGGTACATTTTAATCGCGTCGATGAGTAGCTCGGCCGAGTACCCAAAGCTGGCCGTGGTGGCATTCGTCTGATGCGAGGAAAAATCCACGGAGGAACGTACGTGTCGTTCGTACCTCACGCCAGTAGACAAGCGCAACGAGAAAAAAAAAATAACATACGAGGAGGCCGGATGTAAACAAAGGCTGACGTCACTTCTGGTCTTCGCTGATTGGTTAAACTGTTTTGAGACTGCAGTCGCGCGACCAAAAAATCGGTCAGGAAGCGACTGGCCTAAACAGTCGCTTTGCGACCGTTTGCGACCATTCGCGACTGCTTGCCACCAGTCGCAAATGGTCGCGCGACCGCGGCTAGTCGCCGGTGTGCACCAGCCAGTGCACGTTAAAGAATCCCAGGTGGTGGAAATTTCCGTAGTCGTACACGGCGTTTCTCATAATAATGTGGTGGTTCGGGGACGTTAAACCTCCCAAAAAGCAAGAAGAGGCACGAAATACTTCGAAGAGTGCCTTGACTTTCTCTCTTCAACTGTTCCAGAGAAGATCTTGATTAATATAGCTTACATTGTTATCTTTTCTAAAAAAAAGTGACCTTACTGGCTTGCGAGCACTTACTTAATAGGTGTTATTTGAAGGCACTATATCACACAGCGCAAAGAAGGGCCCTGATTACGTCAGATATTGGTGTTAAAGAACATTGACACAGAAAAAGCCAATTCTAGGATAACGGACGCGTGATTCAACTCACTCAGACTCAGATCGAACAGTGAGCCAGGTTGAGTATTGTTTGTTCAGTCTGAGTCCGAATGAGTCCGGCTGAAGAAAAGTTTCGCTGGTTTAAGATCGAGTGAGTCCGGTGGTGAACAAGTTTGGTGAATGAGTCCTAAACGGAAAATATATTTCACGAGTGTGTCTGAGTGAGCTCCATAAGTTTTGCTCACATATGCACACAGGTGACAATGTGCCCCCTTTTTATCGACCCAGTAGACGCAGTCGAAATCTATAGCGTCACAGTGTTTGGTGTAGAAATCTCAAGGTGACGTCTCTACCCGCGTTTTCTTTTCGCGCGTTTTCTCCCTTACCAAGCGCCATCTTCTGGCAATAGGGATGCTTTCGGTATAGTGTAGACGCGAAAATATTTTTAGTCTTCTTTTGAAACACATATGCCTGTTGCCATCTGCATCGTTCTGAAATGCCGATATTCTTAAACAGTTACGATATAATTTGTAAATGAGGGGCATTTTTTGGCGAACCAAAAGCACTTTGAATGCATCTGTTCCTTATTGATATGAATATGCATGGTATGACATGTATGTCTGACAAATGTGAAGAGAATCTCGTATTTGTTATTTTAAAGGCATTTACTAGGAGGTGCATTGCGGTCGTTTATTTACCTGGTGTATCAAAATATGTTAGCATGAATGACATGTCATGCATGCCAAGAGATGTCCGTATTTCACTGACATAACACGAGCTATGTTTGACTTGTGTTGGATAACAATGGCTATAAGGTTGACTAACCATTCGCTGATATGGGCTAGCTGTCGCTAGTAATAGTAATAATATCCGGGGTTTTATATCCGAAATCTACGATATGATTGTGAGAGACGCCATGGTGGAGGGATCCGGAAATTTGGACCATCTGGTTTTCTTCAACCTGCACTGACATCGCACAGAGCACGGGCTTCAACCTTTTCGCCTCCACCGAAATGCGACCGCCGGAATCGAACCCGGGACTTTCGAGTCAGCAGCAGAGCACCTTATTCACTGCTCCACCGCGGCGGCCCAGCTGCCGGTGAGTGTTATGACTCGACTACCTTGAGGGGGGCAGACAGGCTGGGAACATATGCACCCCCATCCCCCGCTGGCACCACCCCTGCTCGTTGCAGTGGTCTCGTTTCACTTCCATTCATTTTGGATCCCTGGCTGAGAGTGTGAGCCCGTGAAAATGCGCGCCAGTCCTCGCGCACCGTGTTGCGCACATTCGATCACAAGCGGCGAGGCGGCAAGCTCAGCCTCTCAGCGCGAGTCATGCGTCCAGCTGGTAAGCGGCGGCACCTCGTGGCGTTACTTGGCACGATGTTCGTTGCCTAGGTGACCGACAAAACTGACACGCGCCCGTGTTCTGCAGGTATGCCGTACGTCTACTTATTCGCGACCTGGTCGCCGCGGTAGTCCATAAAGCTGGATTTGTTGCTACGGTAGCCACGCTTGAAATGACATGATTCACTGCAGTAGTTGTACGAATGAGCGGTTAGTTCAAGCTGCCATGTTTGCATGCCAAATTTTGATCACACGCCGAAGCGAAAATACATCTCCGCCGTTTAGACTCGCCAGTTGGAACTATCAGGGGCGGCTAAATATAGCACCGCCCTCTAAACTGTACTGCCACCTTAGTGACGAATGTTTTCATGTTTTAGGGATGGTATTCGTGAGCATAACTATCTTACTCTTGCTTGTTGTTTGTACACACTGCCCTTAATAATCGAGAAATGCCGACAAAAAATGATAGCTCTGCCGGTTTCCTGTCCAAGAAGGCCGCTATCAGCTCTGAAAGTTCGATGGTGACACGCATTTCCCTGGCAAAACGCTTCATTTTTCACTGGTTTCGCAGGCTTTGGTGAAATCGCAGATGTCACTATTTAAAGCGCGTGACTGGTGGACTGTTACCTGTGGGACCAACGAGACGTTCGACGCTAGCTGCCTCTGCATTGGTAATGCCAGCAACGGCTCGTCTCAATCAGGTCGGTGGTTATCCGGAAACGTCGCTGTTGCATGCATTGCTCAACCATCATTTGCGTAGGCTCCGCTACCTTCGGTACTAGAGCCTAGGCAAGGCTTAGAGCGCATTATCAGCGACCCGACGTTCACTAGCAGTTTTTAAGATAGTCGTCTATACTCAACCAAGGTCACTTCAGGAAACGGAGGTTACTACAGCTTCCCCTGATCAGTTGGCATGGATGTACACGCATACGCGGTGTACACATGCATGCGGCCAAAGAAAAGGTCTGCGTACCTATTTGGTTCCATAGCTTTCGTGAATTTATTTAAGTACACGCAATAATATACCTGTTATAGTGTGTCGTTATGGGTTTAATTCGTTTTGCTTTTTTCTTCGGCCGACCGAATCTGCAGTGTCGTGTGCGAGTCATGTTTGTGACATAAACTCGGCCAACCAAAAAATAAGAAATGTTCAAAGTATAGAAGCAAATAAGATGAGGTGCAATTCTCGTCTGTCTTTCGTTGCTTTCGAGATTATGAAATTGTTTTCTGGCGGGCATGCAAGACGTTTGTCGTTCAATAAAAGCGTGCAATAGTAAGGTGGGCTGCGTTGAAGTAAAATATTTAAAATTTTCTTAAACTCATTCATTTTTCGAATTCCGGGCACGTGACTCGAGAATACATTATAGAACTCATCACAAGCCTGTCATATTGACTGTGTTTTTTTATTTAAGGCGTTTCTGCTGGTTACTTTCGTGTGGTCGATCTTATGGTATAATGCCTAAAGTTTTCTTTAAGAAAACAAAGGCACCAATATCGCAAACAAAATAATTAATTAGTTAATTTGATACTGTCTGCCTTATTCACAAAATCATTACAGGGAGCGTAATCTGCAGTCGGTGTCAAACGTTAAGAGGCCCCTAGGCCTGATAAAACTTTAAATTGCGCGGTAATTTGTGACTGCATTCAGTCGATCTACACAGAGCGTGTTGTTAGCGCGTTTTAGAAGAGGTGGAAATAATAAATTCAAATCTTACTGTTGAAGCAGCCAGAATATTCGGCGTTTTGCGTCTCGTGGTTCCGAAACACTGATGCTGACTGTGCATACTATTCATGGATAAAGAGTAACATTATAAATTACACACATGAATCGACATGTGGATTTAACGTCCCCAAACGACCATATGACTGTGAGAGACGCCATAGTGAAGTACTCTGGAAATTGCGACCACCTGGGGTTCTTTGAAGTGCACCCAAATCTGAGCACACGGCCCTACAGGATTTTCGCCTCTCTCGAAAATGCAGCCGCCGCAGCCGGGATTCGATCCCGTGACCTTCGGGTCGGTAGCCGAGTACCTTACTGACTAGACCACCACGGTGAGGCTATAAATAACACTCATATTCACTTACACTTTTCGTAACCAATAGCAGAATTACAAAGAACAACAAAAAAAAGCATTCGTACAACGAAAATCAACGAAGGAATGCTCGTACCAAACTTATTGTGCGTCATTACAAAAAAATACATATCTAACGCATTTTTGCAATCGGCAGACCTATCAGTGCTTACAACTGCGTCCGACCAACTGTAGATAGGAAAAACGAAAGACATCAGTGGTCATTAAATAAGGCTGGGTAGCTTTGCTATTCTTTGTAGAGGTTGGATCTTTTTTTTGGGGGGATTGTTGGTATCAATTCTTGCTGATTTATATTCGACAATTCATGATGTTAAACAGACATTTTAGTCAAAGTTTGTGTCTGTGTTTCTGCACATACACTAGCTCATACGATTTTAGCGAAGCCAGTATGGAATTCATGCGTCAGTACCTACTACATATGAAACAGACTGCCTGTCTTCGTATTCATTATAGTATTGGCGTTAGGACTTTCTGGTGTATCACGCAAGGTTGTATATGATAATGTTGCCTTTTTGCTTTGCTTTTTTTGTTTTGATTTTTTTAGCACAGCTTCTTCCAACACATTATAACTGCACACGTTTGAAGTGGACTTACAATCCATGCGTTTTTAGCTGCAATAATTTATTTCAAAAAAGTGTTCAAAGAGAGAAGGTGTCTACACTATTTGAATCGGCGAACAGATGACCAATACAGTTGCGCATTAGTCAGGGGCGTTGGTAGAAATTTTTCTGGGAGAAGGAAGGGGCACCCTTTTCGGCGAGGGCACTCCCTTGAAGTAATCATTTTTCGCTCTGTATGCCACGGCGAAAAAAATATTCGGGGCAGGGGGGGGAGGGGGGGGGGAGCACAAGCCCCGTGTGCCACTCTTTAGCTACGCCACTGACATGAGTTACTGGAATGACTTTTTTTGGGGGGAAGGGGGGGGGTTAGTGGTAGAAAGTTTAGAAAGTTTAAGGCTCACATGTGATTTTTGTGCAGTTGACACTCTTTACCATTATTTTCTGCAATATAGCTCTCAAAGAGGCCATGTTGTTCATCTGAAGCTCTCTGCATGGCTTTTGGAATAAACCCAAATCATATAAATGTGCAGTATGCTGTTGTAACTGATGTTTCAATTCGAGACGAGAGAGTAGAAATGGGCATGCTATTTTTCCAACCTTCCGGGTCTTTCTCTGTCGGCCATCCAAATTTTACGCGTTTTACAGGCAGAATTCATTACAATTATTCTAGACCCGCGCAAGTTTCCACGAATCGGTACGATGAGTGTTATCATGCAATTCACCATACGCATATGTGTGGTTGGCGCTGACTGATAAAGCATGTTAAACTATAGCGCCCACATTTCATTCATTGGTCCCTTCAAGTTTACAGGTAGTTCATGCTGGAATATTGGGGGTTATATGTACCAATGTAGTAGGATATTCAGTCGCCAAGGCTTCCCTGGGTGGCCTTTTATGTACTGTTTTGCCAGATAGGGCACATGTCTGCCAAGTATGATTTCACTTAGAATAACAATTTCTAAGTTGTTAAATTGTTAAATTTTAAATTTACATATCACATGTTAATTTAATGGTTATCTTTGAACAGTTATGCGTGACTTTTCTTTGGTCAATAATTAAATAATTTCTTATGTTTGTAGACGTACTTACGAATTTAAAGCGACATCTATTTTTTAGTTCGACGACTGGCATGCGCAACTGCTCAAAACAACCACGAGATGTCGTTACGTAGCATGACGCCCAAGACCTCGCACATCGAGTGTTTTGGACGCCTGGGTCAACAGCACGCTGGTCAGTCATGTGCGGTGCCTGAAGTATGACGGGATCGTGTCCCATGGATTTAGATTTTCTGAGAAATCGTCTGGGTCGACAGTTTTGGAGAACGAAAGCGGTAGGCGCGCCTGCTTACCTGTAGATTTATAACAACTTGGTGCAAATGCCAGGGAGACAAGGAGTTTAAAAAGGTTTACCCGTTCGACTTTTCGAAAAAGCGTGCTCAGATGGTGATGTTGTAACGAGGTTTTTGCAACGAAACTGGTGCTACTAGGAAACGAAACAGGTCGTTCTGGTGTCATTCAGATCACAATGTAATCGCAAGTTCTTCGCGAGAATGTTATATTCATTATTTTTAGCCTCTATTGATTTTGTTCGCATCTTTATCAAAGCTCTGGTTGAACTGTGTCGACGGCGGTTTGTTTTTGATATACAGCTTGGCCGGACAGTGGTATCAGCTATGTATGTTGCGAAAAAGTTGGCGATTTCAACGTAAAAATGGGATTGTCAATTGCTTTCCACATATGATTGAAAAAAAAAAAACCAGAAAAAAAACGAAACACTTATTACGTTATTCGGTCGTAACACAACCCACCTCTGTTACTGCCGCGAATTATTGAGATTCGGGACAGAATTCTTACGTTGATCACTCGTTCCGTGACGACTGTCGGCTTTTCTGTAGAGCAGAAAGGCTTGTTGTAAAGCCAACTTCAGTGGGATTTTAATGGATGATAGATAGGTATAAGTACTTGTATTGTACTGCAAAAGGTATTACGCAGTGTATGCACGTAGATGCATGAATGTACATACAAAGAACAAGCATACACAGGTAATACATATGAAAGAAAGCATGACAAATTGAAAAGAAGAGTGTGTAGTTATTGGCCGGTGGGATTACAGCGTGAAATAACTATTCAACATTTTGGATGGTTTTAATAAATTTTCAGGCATTTAAATTTACGCGGTAGTACTACAGCTCACGTATTCATCACTACCAGGCGAGAGTGGTGCGCAACCCTGCCGCTAACCGCGATGCGTGCCACACACTGCTGACACGGGCTCGCTGTTTCTTTGATGCCTGTGTCGACAGGCGGCAAACTAGCCATACTCCAGGCACAACTCGATCATACTTCAGGCGCCGGTCAGTCGTATTCTGCACCTGAAGAATAAATAAGTTCTGCGCCAGATAGCATCTGGGCAGTCGATACAGTTCACAGTTCTGGAGAATAAAGGGTAGCTCGGCCCGCTTTCCTGCTGTGTTTCACAGCAACCTAAAAGAACTCAGAGGGAAAGGGACGCTACAACGACCTCGGTTAGGTTTTTGTAGCTGTGTGCAAAGACGCACGGCATCGTTGGCTGCTGAAATATAAAAAGATAGCATCCAGTGTATAGGTACCCGTCGTGTACATAACCTTTGATATAGCTCTTCGCGTTTTTTTCTTTGAGCTTTACGGCCAGTAGAAATAGCTCATGAAACAGCCGAGTACCAACTCAGTGACAAGATTGATACAACCTATACCGTTTCCGTTTCGCTCGTTTTTACGCAGAACAAATCATCGTGGGAAGTCATTCGGGTGTGTTGCGGGTGTACCAGCCCACATGTGTGCAAACGGAGGATGGTACATTCGAAGGCTTCCGGCCAGAGCACATGCTTCTCGAGCTTCAAACGGCCCAAGCGATACTTCAAGTGTTACTAGGACAGTTTGTTTCGTGAGTATAATTTCTTGGACGAGAAGATTAATCGGGGTATTAGTGGACGTTGTTTGCCTCTCAATTAACCATTTATCAAATGAACGAGGTTGCTTTAATGAACAAATAGGTGTCATTGTCAAAAGAAAGACAGTTGTTGTGCTTCGCAAGTACACAAAGCGGTTTTGAAGCGCTCTATACACATGTAGTTATAAGCTCACAAATCTACATTTTATTTATTTATTTGAAATATCCCTGAATGTTGTCTGTCTGATAGCAATACATGGGGGTAGGGTAGGATACATAGCGCCATGGGTTCACGATGAAAGAACGATCGAACACATAAAGCAACAATAGCAGCAATATAAAAAAAAAGCAGGATAAGGTTGCATAAAGAGTGTTAACGGAGAACGGATAGAAGAATTAGATAGTGTAAGAAATAGAAAATGACCTTGCAGGAGCAATTACAAAGCAAAAAAGTCGCGTGTTATGAATGCGCATAAGTTTCTGAAATTTCACTGTTTATTATCGAATGGTAAGATTTAATATCTTATTTTTCGTATATAGTGTAAACGATCAAGCGTATAATGATGTGCGACCTAGAGGTAAATTTAAGTTTGGATAGTCTCAGTGCTAAGAGAGCTGCTGGAGGAACGAAGCAGTAATAAATCGATGCGTGATTATAAATTGGTGAATGAGCGATCATCGTGAACATTCGTACCGTAGCGTTAAATTTTCATTATCACCATATTTTTCTTTAACGCTGTAATGTTTGCGTTGTGCGAATAATGGCGAGAAATGAACAAACAGTAAGGTTCTGCTAGAATTGTGTAGCGTTAAAAATGCATGCGTCTTCACGTCTGAGATGGCAGACGGGAACTCAATTTTCGGTCGAATTAGAATTTTTGGGGGGCTCTTCGATGTTTGCATGTCTTCGGTATTTCATCTGAGAAAAACAAGTGAGCGATTAACTACAACATAGTTCGTGAATTCATATTAGACGAGACTGCCGATTCACAAGTTGTTCATTGCTTTCAGTTCTACGATGCTGTTCTATGACATATATAACTTTATTATGGAATACCAATTACTTTTATCGCTAACATTGAGACTGCATATCTCAAAACTGATGCGGTCCTCAGAATGCGTGTCACAAGTGGACATGACTCGCGAAGTCATTCAAATTGAAATATGCGCTTCATAGCAGGCAACAGAGCATGCACACTGGACAAGAAAGAGTGACATTACTTGGCGCTGGCTAACAACATGAGTGTTCATATCATAGGGGCACAAACATATACGCTTCTTAGGAAACGAAAGCAACAACAAAAAACTTAAAGTGAGGGGGACACCACAGTGCACGTACTTCAGCTATTGCATGACGATGCGGATATATTTTTTATTATATGCTTACGTAATTTGTTATTTGGAGGTGATTAATGCCTGTTAATGCTGCTCAATATACCACGGCCGCAGATAATACACCTATCATCACAACAATTTCGGTCTGTACGATTAAATGCTCTATCTCAATAGAGTCCCAGCATCAGATACAAAAGTTTTCAGTCGAACTTATGAAAGTTATGATGATCAGCAAGAATTTTAGTAAGCAGGTCGCATTATTTATATTTTTCACATTTTGTTATTCGATTCGTGGGGCTCAGTTGTTTCTCGCTTGCACTTTTCAGGACTGCTGTCTCTCGAAAACGACTCTAATAACTTTTCGGCCACACAGCATTATCAGCAGCAATAAGATTACTCAGTGCAAGTGTCAGATGAAAGCGTGACCATTAAAGTTTGTTGATGATACGTGGGGTTTAACGTCCCAAAACCACCATATGATTATGTGAGACGCCGTAGTGGGGGGCTCCAGAAATTTCTACCACCTGGGTTTTTTTAACGTGTTCCCATATCTGAGCACACAGGCCTACACAAAGTTTCCGCCTCCATCGGAAATGCAGCTGCCGCAGCCGTGATTCGACCCCGTGACCTGCGGGTCAGCAACCGTGTATCTTAGCCACTAGACCACCACGGCGGGGCAGAGTTTGTTTATATTGAAAATATTCGTCTTACGTTTTTTTGTTTGTTACTTATCTTCCAGGGCATCCGACAAACTCTTCATCGCTACCTTGCACCCACAAAGGATATCTGTCCACAACCTCGCAGGTCTGGCTTTTGATGATGTTGACCTTTTTCTTCACACCTTTAGATCATTTTGTGGATTTATTTTATCGTCTCGTGTGTTGTTTGACCACGTACACGATACTTTCTTTAGCTTCATGCACACGCGATTTTGCAGCTGCAAATCAAACAACCGCGATGCTGCACGTAACAACCATGATGTCAGTTGTGTGCACTCGGTGAAGTAGGGATAGTCGCGTAATAGGTAACTCATTTATTCTCAGCCATCTATGTTTGGCGAACCCCTTGTGGACCGGTCAAAAGTGATGTAGACGGGAAATCATATTTTGTGAGATAAAAGGGAAGAGGGGTAATAAATTAACAACATGCTATGTGAGAAAGGTCTTATATTTCTCCCTGGCGGGGTTGTATGCAGAAATATTTTTTTTTGGGGGGGGGGGGGGCACCACCTTGATCTGAAGTGAGGGCCAAGTAGGCAAATGGTCATTTTGCGTTATGTATACATATGCATGGCGAAAAAAAAATTCGGGAGAGGGGGGAGACATGGGCCCGAAGTGTCACCTCCTGGCAACGCCACTGCTCCCTGGCAAACAGTGGTCAAAGTAAACGGCCACACTGATACGATCTCCGCAGTTTGTCGATAAGTTGTGTGGTCTGCACTCGCATCCAGCTTGTTTCTAGCAGTGTTTGCTCTTCAAATATGCAAGCCTGGAAAAAAGCATCCTCGCGGGCATACGTCGCTCTAAAGCTTTATAGCCGTTTAATGGAAAATAAGGTGCATAAAACAGCTCCGTCAAAATTAAAATACGTGTTGTAGTGACCCATACTAAAAATAAGAAAGGGTCGCTGTCACGGGACACTTTTTGTTTTCCGAGAACGAGTTTTTCGGAACCCCACAAAAGGCTTCGAGGACCCTGTAGGATACGCGTACTTTCATTTGAGAACCACCGAGATAACTACTTAATTTACTGTGTTGTTTGATTCTTAGTGCGTCGATACACTGAGCGGGTACGGTACAGTATCACAACGGAACTTCAACAAAGCACGAGCTTTCGCTACCAAATAATTATTGAGACGCGTGGAGCCCTCTACACAGAAATGAGAGAGATAGAGAGAGACTCGACATATATATATATATATATATATATATATATATATATATATTTATAGTGTCGGGGGACTGCCTTCTGGCGTCAAATGCGAGAAGGGTGAGAGCTCAATTTCGGCGGCGGCACAATGGATGACGGCGTCATGGCGGGAGAGAAAGTCCCATCCCAGGATGACGTCATGAGAGCATGCCTGAATGATGATGAACTGGGCGACATACAGAACATCCTGGATGACAACGCGAGCTGTGCACCCTGCTGTAGGATGAATCCGGTGCAAACTTGCAGTACGGAGGGATAACCCAGAAAGTGGCGTCGTCACTTTTCGAAGTAAGCGGCAGAGTTTTTCGTCCATAACTGATACGGCAGCTCCAGTGTCAATAAGAGCCGATGCGCAAACACCGTCCACAAGCACGTCAATGACATTCGAGGGGCTGCTCTGAGGGCTTTCACATTGCGATAGCGTCGCAGTCCTTGCCTCAGGGACTGCGACGACTAGTTTTCCCGCTCATGAGCTGCCGCACTTGGCCGCATGGGAGACAGGGAACGGCGTCGTGGAGACGGTGATCTTCGAGATCGACCTGGGCGAGATCGAGGTGGCATAGACGGCGGTTCTTCGCGATAAGGACGGCTGAGTTGGCCAGCAACAGGTGAAGAAATTGGAGCCGGCTGTACGCGATGGCAATAACGGGCCACGTGACCGGCGTAACCGCAGGCAAAGCAGATGGGCCGGTTGTCGGGTGTGCGCCATGTGTTCACCGGGGTAGGTCTCACCCATGTCGCAAGGGCTGATGGACGGAACGGTGGCTGCATGGTGGACTGAGGCTGAGGGGTTACGTCAACATACGTAGCGGGCACACCCGCTGCAAAGGACGGAGGTCGAGTGGCAGCTTCGGCGTAAGTCAGACGGGTGGTTGCTGGAACGACTTGGGGCGGCCTGGCAACCACTTGCGCGTAACTCAGGGGCGCAGGAGCCGGAGGCTGTGGAGGGTGGTACGCAGGCATTACCTCCGCTATTTCCTGTTCAATCGCTCGGCGGATGGGAGGGAGAACGGTAGTAGCCGACTGTTGAACAGCAGGTTGGTGGGCAAAGGGCAGGAGCGAGAACTGACGCGCGATTTCCTCGCGGATAAAGAACTTCAGGTCTGCCATCAACGCCACTTGGTCACAACTGGCCTCCAAACCAGCAAGCGTTGCAGCTCGTGGTGGGGAGCGTCGGGTCATCGAACGCTGCCGGCGGAGCTCCTCGTAGCTCTGGCACAGTGTGATGACCTCAGCCACCGTGCCGGGGTTTTCGGCGAGCAGCATCGTGAAGGCATCATCGTCAATGCCTTTCATGATGTTTCGGATCTTGTCAGACTCGGACATAGTGTGATTGGATTTGTTACATAAGTCCAGGACATCTTCAATATCGCTGGTGAATGACTCACCAGCCTCCTGAGCACGTTCACGCAAGCGCTGCTCGGCTTGCAGCTTGCGAACAGCAGGGCGGCCGAAGACTTTGACGATTGCGGTCTTGAAATCGGACCAGGTGGCAAAATCGGACGCGTGGTTGTTGTACCACAAACTGGCGACACCGGCAAGGTAAAACACCAAGTTGGTCTGCTTGCCGTCCTCGTCCCATTTGTTGGGGACGCTCACGCGCTCGTAAATGGCGAGCCAGTCCTCCACGTCAGTGCCATCAGCGCCAGTGAAGATGGGTGGATCGCGGATTCTGGGGACACCGGGACAAGGGGGGGGCATTGGAGGAGGCGTTTGCTGAGAAGCGTCATAGTACATAGTAGATGGCAGGGTACGTGATCGTAGCTCCAAAGGCATAGACAGGGATCGCAGCACTCTCCACCAAATTGTTAAGGCGTTTATTAGCCGGCAACGAGCGAGAACATACAATGGCGACAGTCACAGCCAAGCACGGGCTCCCAGCGCGAGCGGCGTCCTTGTTGGGTAGCCTCACTAGAAGGTACTCAAGAGTTCGACCCATTTCATAGTTCGGTGGCTTCGCTACAATATATATATATATATATATATATATATATATATATATATATATATATATATATATATATATATATATATATATATATATATATATATATATATATATATATATATATGTGTGTGTGTGTGTGTGTGTGTGTGTGTGTGTGTGTGTGTGTAGCACTTATTTTCTCTCGTCGAGAATGATGAAGAAGACAATCAGGGGGATGTATGGGGGAAGAGGTCGTAGAAATAATAATAATAAAAAAGATTCCATACACGTGAGGTTAGAAATATGAAGCTCCTAAATTAAAGGGCTGCTGGTTTCGCATGAGGAGGCCTTCGAAGTCATTTGTCATTTGTTTGGGGGCTTACTCGCGCGACTATTGTTTTCAATTAACGGTCTCTCTACCGTCCTAAGCTTACCGCGGTGCTTGCAGAATGACTCGGAGTGTACAAGTTGACCATAATAACTCACAAAACAAGGACAGTGAACGAGGCAAATGAGTAATGAGGAAACACGCAATATATATGAAATTACATCAAAGGAAACATAAATTTTCGCTAAGCCAACAGCAGCAGGACGCTACAGAATGGAATACAATGAAGGTTTGTTATAAGGTAAGCGTGGCAATTGAATAATGAAATTCGGCAGATCTCACGTACCTTCGGAATCGACGTTATGAGAAGCATGCGGAAGCAAATTGACCATGTTGCAACTTTCGATTGGGTGACACGTCATGAAATGACGGTAAATATATTATTACGACGTGTATGTGCCGGATTGATAAGAGGGAATAGAAGTGTGGACTTGGGAAGAAGAAGATCTCTCGCCAGTTTTATCCGGTGCGGCCTCGCCATCCCAGCTTCCGTTCAATAAACCCCCGTACCCCTACTTCAGGCGTAACAGAGTGGTGGAAGGTGCTGGGTACAGTATACGTCGACGAACCACGGAGCCACAGCTGTTCGAACTTCGCCGGAGCCGTCGTATTGCCGGTCTGCCACCGACACCAACTGCCATGGCCGAGAGCGAAGGTCACACCTTCTCAACCACACAAAGGTCAGTGCCAGCTGCACCTCGATATCACTATATGGAACCCCGCCCGTTTGCGGGAAGAGCAGGAGAAGATGTGGATGCGTGGCTGACACAGTACAAAAGGGTGAGCCGGTACAACTGCTGGGATGCCACCGACCAACTGGGAAATGTCGCGCTGTTTCTCACGGAAACAGCTCTGATGTGGTACGAAAACCACGAAGATTCCTTAACAACGTGGGATCGTTTCACTGAAGAGCTCAAGAAATGCTTCGGCGACTCTGATTCAAAAAAGAAGAGCGCGGAGCGCACGTTGGCTCAAAGAGCTCAGACTCCTGGAGAAACGTGTACCACCTACATCGAGGAGGTCCTGATGCTCTGCAAGATCATAGACCCGTACATGACTGAAGAGGACATGGTCGGCCACCTTCTGAAGGGTATAGCAGAGGACGTCTACAACTTTTTGATAGGCAGGGAAGACCTCACTTCCGTCTCCGCCGTCCAACGCCACTGCCGTACTTTTGAGAAGCTAAAGACCCGTCGTATTGCCCCGAAATTTGGTAGGCTGGCAAATGTAACAACGGTCGCCAGCGTCGACGTGAGCCCGCCCGCCGACCTTGCCGCCACTATCCGGACAATAGTGCGGGAAGAACTACAGCGACAAGACACACTGTTCCACGACACCATCCGTCATACGCCTACCTCTTCATCCTACTACCCGGCCCCGTCAGCTCCTCTGCCACCATCAGTATGTGTGACAGACGTTCGCGAAGCTAGGGCTTCGTGGCCACGCCGAGACTCATTCCCGTCTGACCAGCGGTATGACCAACGTCTTCGTCCCGGCCCCGCCCCACAGAGGCGCGCAGCTCCCGTTCAGCAATCTGCTCCACCCCGTTCGGTTAGGCGAC